AGTATAAATGATTCTATACTTTGAATAAGTATATGTACATATCTTATTATTTTTGAATCTATTTTCATGGAAAGCTTTATTATAACTATAATGTATTGTGTATTTATACAATTTAAGTACAATATGTAAGTTATAAAGTATAATTTTTACTTACCCGTAAAACTGCAGGTTGGAGTCATGTATTTCACCTTTTTTGCAGTATTTCTTCGACTCGCAACCTTCCACAAAACAACAGTATTATTTTTAAGAAAAATGATAAAAATAAAAATTAATTTTAAAGGAATTCTATTGCCAAGTGCCAGATACTGCTGCAGAGGCTGCTACCTTTATTTCTCCCAACTACCACTTTGCCACACGGTGTCGCTACAGATCTTGGCTACCAACGTGAAGTTGGCGTCAGCGGTCCATGATTATATAGTCAAAGTGGTCGATCGCATTTACCCGGAGACCGTGCTGCACTAGCACCATATCAGGGCAGCACTGGATAGCACTTGCACAGAATCAGTGCAAGTCTACCGAATTCGCCATTTAGATTCTTCTCAATGCAGTCAATGTCAATAGACTGGTCGATGTCTTTTATGATCCCAATCCGTAGAACGCGAAACGAAGGGATAAAGGCTTTTAAATTATTTTTTCCCCAGTATGAATTATTGACAATGCTATTAGCGGCCGCTGCCGTACGCACTTCTATCAAGTTTTTACCATCGCCAATTTTTTTAATTTGCATAATGTCTGAACTGACCACACCGGCGACAATGCGTGCCAAAACAAAAAAGTGTACTCTTGCATTATTCCCCTGAGTCGAGTAAATGTCTTTGAGTATATAGATACCTGGAGGTGAAATGCTTTTGTTCTTTGCAGGCCGCAAGCGAGTCCAAGAGTGGCAAGGAGTGCGAGAGAGAAAGGTATACGAGCGATACCACGTGATACTTCGTCCTCTCTGTCTGTTAAATGATCGACGCATGCGCAGAGAGGACAAACATTACTCGTCTACCTTTCTCTCTCGCACACATCTTGGACACAGTTTTCGAGCCAACATTCCCCCTCCATGTCTATATACTCAAAGCATGGGCCGTGCGCGTTCCAGGCTGCGTTCCGTTTGGCGCTTACAGCTGCTTACAGCGCTCACAAAATCATTTCATCCTTGTTGTTTATCAGATATTGAACAAAGACAAATGATGCTTATAAGCGCTGTAAGCGCCAAAAGGAATGCAGTCTCAGTATTATTATATTTCAGTGTATGTCTCTTTTACTCTATGTATATAAACTCTTTGGTCGTAAATCGTAAGAAATTGACCAGTTACAGTCGAATATGAGAAGAATAATCGACTGTGATTGGTCAATTTGTAAGTAAGTTTATGGGGCTTTCTACAACCCAATCAGCACACAATGTTTGAAAAAATATTTTTAAAAATATTAAAAAAATATTTAAAAAACATTTTTAAAAACATTTAAATAATGGGTTAAGTGCTCTTTATT